CGAGAGGATGAGCTGCGACAGCCTGCCGGTGCTGGGGGACACCGAGGTGCTCTGCATGGGCTACAACCACACGGAAGCCACCACCCTGCCACCTTTCTTCGGGAAGCCCACGCGCCCGGCCAAGGATGCAACCAAAAACCTGGTGCCTCTTGATGGGCAGCGCCCCTCGGGGCTGGACTGTGGCCGGACGTGCAAGGGCAAAGCGCCTCTGATCCCCATCTCCAAGGAGTCCCATCCGCTGTACAACCGCATCAGGACGGGGCAGGTACCAAACTGCGCCATCCCCTGCTACCAGCCCTACTTTACCCAGGACGAGAAGACTTTTGCCACCTTCTGGATCGGCCTCTGGTCCATCCTCTGCTTTCTTTCCACGTCCACCACCGTGGCCACCTTCCTCATTGACATGGAGCGCTTCAAGTACCCCGAGCGCCCCATCATCTTCCTCTCTGCTTGCTACCTCTTTGTTTCTGTGGGCTACATCGTGCGGCTGGTGGCAGGGCATGCCAATGTGGCTTGCAACCCAGAGCATCACCACATCCACTATGAGACCACAGGCCCTGCCCTCTGCACCGTGGTTTTCCTTCTCCTCTACTTCTTCGGCATGGCCAGCTCCATCTGGTGGGTCATCCTGTCCCTCACCTGGTTCCTGGCAGCCGGCATGAAGTGGGGCAACGAGGCCATCGCTAGCTACGCGCAGTACTTCCACCTGGCTGCCTGGCTCATCCCCAGCGCCAAATCCATTGCTGTGCTGGCGCTCAGCTCCGTGGATGGTGACCCAGTGGCCGGGGTTTGCTACGTGGGCAACCAGAGCCTGGAGAACCTGCGGGGCTTTGTGCTGGCACCGCTGGTGGTTTATCTCTTCACCGGCAGCCTCTTCCTGCTGGCTGGCTTCGTCTCGCTCTTTCGCATCCGCAGCGTGATCAAGCAGGGCGGCACCAAGACTGACAAGCTGGAGAAGCTGATGATCCGCATTGGCATCTTCACCATGCTCTACACCGTGCCTGCCACCATTGTCATCGCCTGCTACATCTACGAGCAGCACAACCGGGAGGCGTGGGAGCAGGCGCAGAACTGCTCCTGCCCGGGGGATCCCCACCGCCCCAAGCCTGACTACGCCGTCTTCATGCTCAAGTACTTCATGTGCCTTGTGGTGGGCATCACCTCTGGTGTCTGGATTTGGTCTGGCAAGACGCTTGAGTCCTGGAGGCGCTTCACAGCCCACTGCTGCCGGGCCAGGTTTGAAACTACAACTGGGCTCAAACTAAAGCTACAAAACACATG